AGTGTAGAGAGAGAGGAGGGGGGGGGGGGCCTTATCATTTGGAAATACTGCTTTGAAATAGAGCCAGATAGGAGTTGTATCCGTCAATTTGTCTATTCTGGCATCACCCGTCATTTGCGACATGAGTGCTTCAGAAATTGCCGGGCGGGCTGTAATTTGATTCTGGAGAGGTTGGTCGTGTTTTGGGGGACGGTTGATTGGATATAAATTCTTTATAGAGTGGTAGCTGCCAACGTTAACGCTACGCCGCCCATTGGTGTGCAAACCTTTTACCGATGCAGTGATCACAGTGGCATCATTTATTGATTACTGAGATGAGCTCAGACAAGATTCACTAAAAACCCTTAAACCCATACTTTAGCGGTCAGAAATAAAGTGAAGCGCTACAGTAAAGTGCATCATTAGTATCCCGGATTTTTTTTTCTTTGAAGGTGCATATGTTAGTAAACATCCAGAACGAAGTACTCGGAGGAAATCGAAACCATGGAAGAAGTGATGGCCTAGCTCTGCAGCTGTGAATGAATAATGCTTTTCTCTCAGTTTGAACAATCTACAAATGACAGAACCATGTGTGCTCTAGTTACGCAAGAGGTTCGTATGTTCTCTGTAGCGTGCGTCATTGACAGTCTGCGGTTGCTATCTTAAGAATCAATGCGTTGACAGTGTTGGAACATAGACAACGATTCGCGGAAGGTATTGCGGTCTGCTTTGGTGATCTTGTGTGCGTTGCGTAGTGCCTCATAGGTCGAGGTTTGTACTAACTCGTACCGTGCTTCTTCGCATTCCTCTAGGTAAGTATCACGTTCCTGGCGTATTCGTGCCGGAGGGCATCACGTTCAGAGGTAACGGTGTTGCAGTCGTCAAGGTAAGTACCACGCTCGTAAGGAATACGTGTAAGGTCGTGCTTCAGGGAGACATGTTCAGTAGTGGTATTCGATTTAGCGTGGCGTGTGTACTCAAGATTGCTAGGAAGATTATCCCGGGAGAGAGCATGTTGGCTACACTCAGAGCGTGCTTGGTCACGCTCGATAACGACACTGCTATGCTCGGTTCTGATGCGATCGCGGTCAGCGGCAAGCGATGGTGTTCGATGACGTGTTGTTTGCAGTATACGATAGTAAGATTAAGTTCTGTGATGATAGTGTTGCGTTCATGAGGGAGTCCGTTGATGTCAGCAGTTATAGTTGCAATTGTCTTGGATTGTGTGATGCTATCGGCGTGTAGTGTGTCACGTTCATTGATGGCGGTGTCGCGTTCGTGAACAGGTGTATTACGTTCGTGTCGGATACGAGAAAGGTCAGCTTGGGCGGCGGTGTTGGTGGCGTAACAATCGTTGCAGCCGGCGATAGCGTCGATAGTGTCTAGTACGGAGAATGCGGCATGCGCACTGAGGTAGACGACGATATTGCTGACATGGGGGTTAAACTTGGTGTTGATGACAGTAGCAAGGATTCGGTCAAGTTTGATATGGTCGTTGGCGTGGCGGATGTTGAGGTAAGGTGTGAGTTGAGGAAAGAAGTCACGGTAAAATCGTTGCACGCCGTCCACAGGGGAGACATTACCAGGGAGAATCTGTCCCGTCGGTGGAGGTGTGCGTCGCATATTGGAGTGGGCGAGTGAGATCAGGAGAAGAAAGTCACGAAATGAGACGAGAGATCAGAAAAGTGAATCAGTGACCAGAGGATGAGGAAACTCGGGGGTGGTTGGGTGGAAATCTTAGCGATGTAGATAAGGTACGTAAATAAAATAGCATACATATTCGATATAGGCCCATAACCTGTTGGAACATATAGTATGCGAGAAGTAAATTTGCCATTATAATGTGTATTATCTATATAATATAATGATTGCCGTGTGCTATATATTCTGACAATTATTTGGCCGAAACATAAACAGTAATATATTTTGGATCCCTAAGGTTTTAGGGTTTGTTAGAGTGCAATGTAGTGTACAATTTAGGAGGCTATGAATGTAGTAGACTTTAAATATAATGCAAATGTATATATTTATTTCTGACCTCACCTTTGGTTTTATACCTAAGGTGTTTGTGCTAGTGCTCAGCTGCTTGGGCTGGCCAGGGTAAAACCTCATATGATCAGTATGAGAAACCTTATGCAAAACACTTTAAGGCCGAATTCTACGAAATTTCGCCACGTATAAGCCGATGGCAAAATGTACCTTTATCCGCGATTCATTGGATAGGGTACTTCTTAGCATCAATCAATCGAGGAGATTAATACGATCACGTCGGTACCTTTAAGTAGGTAGTCGGATGCCTATATCAGTATGTACCAACAGGATACGCAATGACTACGCAGTAATCACATTTTGAGTACTTTTTGTGTATTTTTGAAGGAATCCGGGTTTTCAAGGTTTGGGTCGATTATTCTTTTTTTTATCGACCAATGAGTAAAAATCATTTTATTCACACATAGACACCATCATGAACATGCTGTAGGTGTCCTTTACGGGGATGGCCATAGCTACTTAACTAAGCATGCTAGAGACACCGGTCCAATGATGGCTGTGCTTTCTGATTCATTGTCTAGCTTTTCCTGTAAAAACATTGGTAGATATTCCAAACGTCGAGTAAAGGTTCCAAGTCTCATCGCTTATCCGGTTTCTAATATTTCGACCTTGGAATATAAAAAAATCGTAGAATATGGTCTTAACATTTCGATGCTATTCTATTTCAACTTTTTTGCAACTAAATCTCACGCTGATCACATGATGCCATTCCGCATAGGTTGTGGTTCACATAGAACCGCAGCTATTTTTAGGATGTTGCGGTTGACATACTTAATCCACTCTCGGGAATAAGTTGAGAAACCTCATCTGCTCTCGGAAGTCGGTTAAGTATTAACTCAACTCTTGAGAGTATTTTAAGCAACTTGATTAGCTCTCGGGAGTGAGCTAACTTCGATGATTTCCATAAATCAAAGAGGGTTTCTTGCTGTAAAATCTGGCCGGAGACCTGTAGTCTCTCAGGGGTTGAGTCTCATAAAATTCGTCTCAACAGACAGGTTATACCTGATACATCAGGTGCCTCCATAACATTGACATGGAGCTGATACAGTACGCCCAAAACTATAAAGGAGGGATAGACAGCTGCTTATTTGCTCGATATTGTGAAAAGAAAACGTTACCTGAAGCTACGCATGTGCTATGACTGATCTAGTTTCGGTTCGATTAGTGTTTTCGAGTCATTGGTTTATGACCTTAATCAGTTCTATGTTGCTACGATCGTGACGTGTTTCATGAGCGTCATCGTAGCTGTATTTTTATTGAGTGCTTGTGTTGTCATTATCTTAGACTGGCAATTTATAGAAAGTATTATACCCTTTCGTTTTTGCTTAATATATGACAGGAATCCACTTGCTTGTACATACGAGACCGATGTCGCAGACCATGGTTTATTTTCAAAGTATTCTATAATATAGCTCGATCCCTGATACAAAGACATGTTCACGGTAGGGCTGTCTCCTATTGTATATACTAGTAATTCTACTCATTCATATGGCGTATCGGACAACATAACGCAAGAGTATATTCCATAATGTGTACATGATTTAGAATCGAAGTCTTTGTTCTCACGGTGCGTTAGTCAACGCAGAATATATATATAAATACAATTGAAAGAAATCACTTTCGGGGTGAGTAAGATATTTGAAATCAGTTGCCTTTATAGTTATACTTATATTCGGCAAAAAAACAATATTTTTCAAATAGCCACAGCGATTGTATTACGTTAAAACATTTAGTCAGAAATTAATAGCTCCATGTAGCATCTAGGGACCAGATTATCAAAAGGCCAATCCAAAACCCAAAACCCAGGATCATCAAATATTTAGTTTTAGAATTAGGATTGTAATATTTCTGATATTAGAGTCATCAGAAATATTAGCGGTAGAACCGGTAAGCCATATCGGGGCCAGTCGATCTGAATTACTATATGGTTAAGGGAGAATAAGCACTATTATTAAGATCAATCAGAAAAATGAGGAACACAAGAAAGGGATCAATCCACATCCCAAGTAGAAGAAGCGGCATCGCACATATCAAGGTTCTAATTGGCCAATCTCGCTCACAACCACCGAGATCAAATCACGCACACATCAAAATTGAAAGACTTCAAGCAGTAGCATACCGTTACTATAACCCGAGCACAGGACATAAGAACACACACAACAAACACAGGAAGCAAACAATTCCTACAAATTATGTACGAACAATAATAAGTATTTACTCAAATGACGGAATAAGCTAAACTAACAAACACCAAATGAACCTTCCCAAATACAGGAAGGAACGCAACAGGCGATCCATAAATGCCAGTCAATCTGAATTACTATATGGTTAAGGGATAATAAGCATAATCATTAAGAGCAATCAGAAAAATGAGGAATACATGAAGGGGATCAATCCACATCCCAAGTAGAAGAAGCGGCATCGCACATATCAAGGTTCTAATTGGCCAATCTCGCTCACAAACACCGAGATCAAGTCACGCACACGTCAAAATTGAAAGACTTCAAGCAGTAGCATACCGTTACTAAAACTCGAGCACAGGACATAAGAACACACACAGCAAACACAGGAAGCAAACAATTCCTACAAATTCTGTAAGAACAATAATAAGTATTTACTTATATGACGGAATAAGCTTAACTAACAAACACCAAATGAACCTTCCCAATTACAGGAAGAAACGCAACAGGCTACCGGCCCACGCAGAACGGTAAACACTTCACACGAAAGTGTAGCAAAGCGAAACCACAATAAAAGTAAAAGTGATACATTCAAACTTTATTTATTCTATACGAATTATTACTAAGACAAGTGGGGTGAAGCGCGCATTCACACATAGTTTTGCAAGAGTCTTGACTAACAGTCCGCAACAACCACACACCACCACAGACATATCAAAATGCCGACAGCAACCAGAGCAGGCGTGTATGGTGGGGAAGAAGAGGGAGCGTGCTCGGATGGCGCAGGTGTCAGCAAAAAAAGGGTGGGGGGGGGGGGGGGGCAAGCCTAGATAGTGGTTCAGGCCAACCTACACCGGCTGGGGTACCCATTCTAGCCTCGGCGATGCGTCAAGAAATCACCAAAAGCATCTGCCAAGGCAACCGTGTCCTGGTTAGTAGGTTCGCTTCCAAATTGGAACAAACTGCTCCTGTGTCGATCCCGACTCTGCATAAGTTGAGAGTAGGCATTCATGACCAACAACCAGAACGACGCATGCCAATAAAGTTTCATCTGAAGAAAAGTTTAAAAAAAGAAAAAGACTTCTTGGATTTTGGAGATTGGCGGGAAGACCAAAACCTGTAAGTAGTAGTTCAGAGATTATAAAATTTAGTTTATAATATCCTACAACTACTATCGTCTCAAATAGGTCCAAGTAAATGAGTCATACCAAATACTCAGGTTATAGAAGCCATCAAAGTGAATTTAGAACACTTTGGAAATATTGAAAAAGAACTTGTATTTTAAATTATTTTAAATACAAATAAAAACCAATGTGTTATCTCGTTTGATCTTGATATTTTAGACTGACCGGAGGCCGTATTTCTACATAGCCCCCAGTAGCTTTTAGAACTACGGACGTACGTAAAGGTACGATCTAGTTCGTAAAGCGAAAACCAAAGTAAAACGGTTTCGGTTTTGGCTTATTGAGTAAGTATGTGCCTATACGTACGAGTTCAAGACTCATGTTGTACTCTATGTCGTTTAGTATTTGGTCCAGTAACCATTTCGGATGTAGGCGCCTTACGTTTATTACTTGGTGAGGTAATAACCAAAGGTTGTTCTTCATTAGTAAGTAAATTCGAAGAATTTTCTGCTCTGTTGGTATGCAGATCAAAAAGTTTAGTCACATAGAAAGTAGGTGACAAATAGGGAATTTCATATCCATCCGGGGTTTTCCATTTATCTCGTGTGTTCTTATGTAAACGCTTATTCCATTTCTTACTGAAAATATGAAGGAAGTCGCGAGATTCACGAAACGTATCGGAGGTTAGCCAAGCTACTGTCCCATCCATAAAACGGGTCTTGTAGTAAGTGTAGTCGTCTTCGGATGTTTTGCCAATTATATCGTTGACTTGTGACTCCATAACTGGGACATCAGAATCAAATGAGCGAGCGAATGAGAGTTCGGAGGTAGGGATATGGTGAGTGCCTAGATTAGTTGCGCTAGTACCATCTTTGTTATTCACTTCGTAAGTATCACTCTTCTCATCATGGTAAGAAATAACAAAAGGTCCAACTGTCTTAGAAGAGAGTTCGGTAACGTTGGCATTGCGATTTATAATGTTAACAGAATCGCCAACTTTGAACTGAACAATGTTCTTAGTGTTATTCCATCGGTCATACGCTTTAAGTAGGACACGATTTTTGTGCTCGAGTAAACAGGGGTAAACAACGTTCTGCATATGCTCAATCTTTTGTAGTAAGGGAGTAACGTGTTTCTCGGGCGCAGTTTTGTCAAACGTTGCTTGTAATTCACTATAGCGGCCAAAGAAATAGTGAAACGGGAGTGTTCCAGTTTGAGGATTCATGCAGTTATACATTTGAGTCCGAACCCATTTCAAATGATAAGGCCACATATCCTCAACGTCATCTAGTGCGGTACGCAATAGCTTCTTTAGTTCTCTATGACGTGTCTCATTTGCACCCTGTGTTTGAGGATTATAAGGAACACCACGCCCATGGGTCATACATGATACGAGTACAAGTGCCTCCATTACGTCGGTACAAAACTCACTACCGTTATCAGAACATAGTACTCGGGGGAAATCGAAGTCATTAAAGGCGTGATAGTATATCTCTGCCACTGCTTGCGGGCGTTTGTTTGGTATTGCATAAAGCAAGTTATAGCCCGAAGCCATACATAAGAAATGACAGATATATATATCGCCAGTATGCTTTGATCGCGGGAGTTAACCAAATCGACCATGACTCGGCGCATCGGTTGGTCTTCTGTCACACTTTTTAGGGGTGCCCAACCGTAGCGCTTGATCTGGTTCTTTTCACAAACAGCGTCGGTATACTTCACGTATGGTGTCTTTCAGCGCCGGGTGATCAAGCCCTGGACGAATAGCCATCTTATAAATATGCTCATATGCTCGATGAGTTAAATTATGTATTATTTTAACTCTACTCTCGAGCTCTTCTGTGTCAGTCAGATTCTGTATAACGCTGGCTGGATGAACCATAGTCCCGTCAGATAGGGCAACTTCAGTATCAGGAGGGGTAGACTCCTGAGATACGTAGTTAACAACATTAGATTGTTGAAGTATCTTCTTGAGTTGTTTTGCAACCTGTTCTTTAAGCAGCGCTTTAAGTAGTCGAGTGCGAGCTTCAGGTTCTCTTAGAGCTTTGAGTCTTTGATCCATGGCCTTAGCTAGTTTCATGTTTTTACGATATAATGCCATCTCAATCGGCATTACCTCGACTGCATTCTTGTTGGGTGCATGTGTTGTACGAGTCTTGAGCTTTTGTTCAAACTCCTTAGACTCCTCTAGTTTAGCTAAGAACTCGGTTGAGGGGGTTCACTTAGTGGTACCTGCAGGACCGATGCGACAAACGATGGTGTGTTTCCAAGGTGTCTTCTTAATAGAACAGGATCCCTGATACAAGAATGTGTCGGTTTCACGGTCGACATAGATAGGTTCGTCTTGTATCATATTAATTAAATCACGTATCCATGGGTCGGAGCTACGTAAGGGACAACACAGCGTAATGGTAGATTTAGTAATATTAACATAATTTAACAACTGTGCGATAAGTTGCCAAGGTGGGTTAGCCCACGCATTATGCTTTGATAAGTCAAGTTGGAAGGCATCACCTTTAGGATGAGTCAACGACCTATTATCAGAAACCTGTTTGTTATGTTCTGCGGTGAACATATCAATAGTAAATGGACCCCATCTTGATTGAGCGAGGTTAAACAATTTCTTATTAAGCATCCAATCGGTTGCTAATAACTCTATAACTGTTTTCTGGTAGTCAGGGACAAGTCGAGAGAGCATGTCAGGAAGATGTTTATGTATACCTGGTATGTGTGTAATGTTAAAAGCGAACTTAGCAAAAATGTCATGCCAGCGGCTCACCAACTGTGAATCAGGGTTCATGTCCTTTAAATATGTTAAAGACTTTTGATCACAGGCGACAGTGAAGTTGCTTTTATAAAGATAGTCTTTTAAACTGTCTTAGCGCAGTAACAATAGCAAGGAGCTCTTGTTAAACGGTAGGGTAATTCCGTTGACTCTTATTATAACTCTTGCTAAGGAATTGTATGTAGCGTGGTTTACCATTTATCGTTTGGTATAGCACTCCACCTACCGCTCGATCTGAAGCGTCGGTTGCTACTTGGAATGGGACGCCATCCACAGGGTATTGCATGATGGGTGCGTCCATTACTTTACTTTTGACTAGCTTAAATGCATCATCACATTCTTTAGTCCAGAGCTTTCCCAAAGGTCCTTTGTACAGCCGTAGGTGACTGAAAGGCTTTAAGTAATGAGAAAGATGAGGTACCGAATCCGAGAAGAAGTTAACAAACCCACACACAGATTTCACATCTCTTCCAGTAATCGGTGTTGATAAATGATCAATTTCTACCCCTGCTGCAGATACCTTGTAACCAAGTAAGTGTATAGTATCTTTAGCAAAAGAACACTTTTCCTCGTTAATCTTAAGTTTGGCATGGTTTAGTCGCTTTAAGACTTCCTTAACGAGTTAAGCATGTTCATGTCCTATCTTTGTAAAGATAACTATATCATCTAAATATACTGATACGTTATCCGACAGGTCCAGAAATAGTTCCATCATAACTTGTTGGAAGAAAGAAGGTAACACGTGTAAGCCTTCAGGTGCACCTTTAAACTGGTACTTCTTACCTTGCCAAGTAAAGGAAAAGTATTTCCTATCATGTTCATGTCCTGTCTTTGTAAAGATAGCTATATCATCTAAATATACTGATACGTTATCCGACAGGTCCGGAAATAGTTCCATCATAACTTGTTGGAAGAAAGAAGGTAACACGTGTAAGCCTTCAGGTGCACCTTTAATCTGGTACTTCTTACCTTGCCAAGTAAAAATAAAGTATTTCCTATGCGGCTCATATATTTATAATTAATGGAATGCAACTTTTAAGTCTACCTTGGAAAATATAGTCGCACCTTCCATTTTGCGTAGTATCTCGCTTATATTTGGTAAGGGAAAACTATGTTGCGGAATTAGTTTGTTGATTGGCGACAGGTCTAGTACTACTCTTGTTTTACTAAACGTTCCATCAGATTTATATTGATCGACTGCTAAACGAGCTAAGTTAACTGGGGTTGCATCATAATTGATTTCAATTAGACCCTGTTTTAAACAATCTTTAATTTTGGTTTTGACAACGTCTTTGTGTCTCCAACTCACGTAGTTATATGAAGGACACTTTAGCTTAGAGAAGTCGACGTTTGTTAAGTCAAGCTTAACGTACCCGTTTAGGAACTTAAACATACACCAGTCAGTTATTGCAATCTTTCTATTTTGTATAATTAAGTCCATTATTATATCGGTAAAGTGCGGTATCATATCCTTTGCTTCACCTTCCGGAGGTTTAGGTATCTTCTAACTTGTTATCATCTGACTGATCTTTATTTGGGTCTAGCCCATTAGGCAGACCAGTGAGAGTTATACCTAAACTGAGAAGATCAGTCATACCTATAATTAAATCGGATATCTGAGACATGTCAGTAACGGGTAACTTTGCCATTTCCCAAGATTAAATTAGTTGTTTCGTTATGGATAGCCATATCTGTAGCGTAGGCTACTCGGCGTGACATAGCAGATACTTCAGCCCCTGGATCAAAAAGTGCTATAACTTTTTCTCCATTTTCATAAACGGTTTGAAATATCCTTTGGTATAGATTTTATTGAACTTTTTTTCTCATAATCTTGCTCTAGTGCACACATATGGAACTGTCAGTGCTTAACTTGGACGTCCGGCATGTCCTTGCAATCATCTTTGTGCCAACCGTTAGTACCCTTGCAAGTAGTACACTCTTTCAAATAGTGTCCAAAGTTTGGCTTGCCTGGTGCACACTTAACAGAGTCGTGTTTACCATTCCACTTGCCATCACGTTTAGTGAGATTGTAACCACACTTTTTGCAAGATGCCCTCTCCTTCCTTTCACCCTTTGGTTCAGTAGAAGTAGAGCCTATACCACCTCCAGCAGTAGTGCGAGGTTTCTTAGTATTACGCGCAGTGTTATTCTCTATCGCGGTACGCTTAGCGGGCTAGGTAAAGCTCGAGGTACTAAGTACTCTAGTAGATGGGTTGGTATGCTTTTGAACTATCTTCTCAACGACAGCCCAAGGCATAGATCGCAAATCATCATAGGCGATAAATCATCATTGACATTTTTAAAAAGAATAGCCCCCAGAGTCTCCATCATCGGACAAATTAATAAATATTCGCCAGTATAGGTACGACCTCCCATCCGAGTGTTCATATGTGTCATATGAGCTAGAGCACCTCGAATAGTAGTATCGTTCGCAAAGGACTTGTGAGACTCTGGAAGTTCACGGTCGCGTGCATCTTCAAAGAAGGCGTTAAGTATATTCTCACGTAACTGGCGCCAGGGTAGGGCTTTCCAGTTGGGCACATGGGCCTTCAAGATAGTTTTCCATTCCTCTGACTCACAGAAATGAATAAAGGAATTCATCATCTGCTTATCCTTAAGGCTGGCAGACT